CCCCCTTTTCCTCTGTTTTTTTGAACGTCGAGCTCTATGCCCCATGAATCGGGGAGGACGGAAAGCAGCCCCAAGGACTTCTCTGGTAGAGGAACCTGAAGACGCATTGCAGGAGCTGGGGGAGGATGGAGTGGCAAAGGATGTGAGAGAGGCTGGTGATATAGAGCCTGAAAGTAGAGAGCCAACGCTTGCTGACTTGACAGGCCTGTTCCTAGCACATATGGCAAACATGGATGCCCGGGAAGCTCAAAGGAGTCAAGAATATGCCCAGCAAAAGCGTCGGTTTAAAACCCTTCAGCACCAGTTCAGTTTGTTGCAGCTGGAGGTGCAGGCTCGCACGACTCCAACTCCTAATCTACTGCTGACTGTTGGGGACACCTTGGAAAGTCCGGATGATGATGCGGTCGCTAACCGTTCCCTGTCTCAGTCCACTGCCTGTCGAAAAGATCTCTCTGAAAGTCGTGAGACAGGTCAGTGTCAATTTAATGAGCCCAAACTTGAGAAGTTGTCTGAATCTGAGGACATTGAGCACTTTCTAATCACTTTTGAGAGGATGGCAGCAGCTTGTCGGTGGCCAAAGGAAGATTGGTCCTTCCACTTGATTCCTCTCTTGACGGGTAAAGCCAGAGCGGCTTATGTTCATATGGATGTTGATGAGTCACTGGAGTATGAAGAGGTTAAATCTGCCATCTTTAGAAAATATGATATCAACCGAGAGACTTATAGACAAAGGTTCCGTTCTCTTGATGTTGAGCCCCTTGAGAGTCCCAAAGAATTATATGTGCGATTAAAATAACTTTATGTCAAGTGGATGCAGCCAAAAGGTAAACCAGTGGAGGAAGTTGGGGAAGTTATAATTCTGGAACAGTACCTAAGATTGCTTTCTCCTGAGCTCCAGGTTTGAATCCGGGAACATGACCTGAGGTCTGCTTCACAAGCAGCAACACTAGCGGACGTGTTTGTGGCGGCACGTAAGGGAAATCAGTCTTGGTGTTGGAAAACCGGCAGGGATAGACACCGACAAAACTTTCCCCGGCAACCTCGGGCATGTCGGACCATCTGCCATTCCCTGTGGTTTTGGGCCATGATGTGCCAGTGCTCTGGGACTTGTTGCAGTCAGTACCATGTCATATGGCTGTTACCAGAGCTCAAGCAAGTAAAGGGGAAGAAAGGCAACAGCTGCTGAGTGCCCTACCTTTCTTTGGGGAAGATGTAGAACCTTTGTGCTCTGCAAAGCCCAGGAAGTCCCGTCGACAGAAAAGGTTGGAAAAAATTCAATATAATGCTACTAATATACCAGTTGAATCTCTTTCCGATTTTCCCCCGGAATTCAAGTTGCCTACTAATATTGCTCAGCTACAACAGGAGGATGCCAGTCTTGTCCCTTACCTACATAGAGCAAAACAGAAGGGTGTAGAGACTGCTGACAATGACCGAAAGGAAAGATATCACCTTCGACAGGGAATACTCTAACGCCAGGTTGGGGCGGTGACACAACTGGTGGTACCACAGTGTGTCCGTGAGGTTATTCTCACTCTTGGCCATTCCGTTCCCTGGGCTGGCCATCTGGGGTAACGTAAAACCATCGCTAGGATTAGGAAATACTTCCATTGGCCTGACGTGAACAGAGAGGTAACCCAATATTGTAAAAGTTGCCCAGAATGTCAAAAAGTCTCTACCCGAGGCCCAGGTCGGGTCCCTCTCCAACCTCTGTCAATTATAGGCATGCCGTTTGAAAGACTGGGAATGGATGTTGTCGGGCCTGTTGAAAGGAGTTGTTCTGGTAACCGATTTATGCTTGTTGTAACAGACTACGCTACAAGGTATCCCAAAGTGTTCCCACTGAAGTCTATTAAAGCAAAGTATATGGCGACCTGTTTAGTGCAACTGTTCTCCAGAGTTGGGTTTCCTCGTGAAATTTTGACAGATCAAGGAACTAACTTTATGTCTACCCTTCTGAAACAGGTATACAAACTGCTGGGTATCAGGAGTCTGAGAACAACTCCTTACCACCCACAGACCGATGGACTCACAGAAAGGTTTAACCAGACTCTGAAACAGATGCTGCGCAAGTTCGTTTGTGACACTGGCAAAGACTGGGACCAGTGGCTCCCTTATCTTCTATTTGCCTTTAGAGAGGTGCCACAGTCATCTACCGGCTTTGCCCCTTTTGAACTTTTATATGGGCATGAGGTAAGAGGTCCTCTCTCTCTGCTTCGAGAGATATGGGAGGGGCACCAGCAAAGAGGTGAGCCGATTAATGTTGTGTCTTATGTGGTGCAGATGCGAGAACGCTTGGAGAAGATGACCACACTGGCTCAATCTCATTTAGCAGAGGCTCAATCACGGCAGAAAACCTGGTATGATCAATCTGCTCGTGAGCGAAGTTTTGAACCTGGTGAAAAGGTCTTGGTGATGCTGCCCAGTCAAGAAAGTAAATTGTTGGCGAAATGGCAGGGTCCTTTTGAAGTTAAAGGGAAACTTGGACCCACCACCTATGAAATTTCAATGTCTGGCAAAGATCGTCCTTCCAGAATCCTGCACATTAATCTGATTAAGCAGTGGGTATCTCATCCTGACAAGTCTGCCCAGATCGTAATGATTCAACAAGTGAAGGAAGAAGAGGAATCGGATGACCAATATTTACCTCAGCCTGCTCTAGGAGATGTCGATCTGAGTCACCTGTCACCACAGCAACAGCGAGAGGTGAGGGCCGTTTGCTTACCGGGAGTCTTCTCAGAATACCCTGGGTTTACAACATTAATAGAACATGATATTGTATTGAAACCGGATGCTGTTGTAAGGAGAATGAGTTACCGTGTTCCAGAGCATCTCCAAGAGTCACTAAAGAAGGAACTTGAGCTGAGAATTTTCACATGATATTGAGTAAGAAGCCAGACTCGATTCTTTTGCTCATTTAGAATGTTTATTGAATATCGGTACGTTAACTAGTTGGAGTGCACACAATTTAGTTCGCTGTGCTGTATATTTCTGTTAATATTGTTTTTTTTTAGTTTAAGTTACCGTGGTGTGGGTTGTGTGGAGAATAGCGGAGGTTTCCGAGCTTCTGTCGCGGGGTGCGTCCGCCTAAAGGACCGGCGGGCTCTTTCCACCACTCTTTAGTTCCGTTGGCCGGTTCCAATGGACAGATGAATTGGAGGGAGGATTGAGTTGTCTAAATGGGCATTGTTTTCTTATGTTTCACTTCCTTAATGGAATTTTGGTTTAGACTTCTTTTCAAGATTTATATTTAATCTTTAATTCAACTATTTAAATAGTTTTATATTTGTTTGTTGTTTGTTGTTGTATGTTGTAGTTGTGTTTTTTTTGTTTTCCCCTCTTGTGTGGAACTAGCAGAGCTAAGCGGACATAACAGGCGTGACAAACGATTCCTAGGGGCCTTGCTCGGAGCTGCTGCTGCTGTTGGAACCCTGTTCAACCTGGGAGTGACCAGTGTCAACTCCGTGAGCCTATCTACCCTGAGGCAACATGTAAGGGAGATCCAGACTGAGATGCCCCAGCTGAGAGAACAACTCACACTACAGGGCCAAACCCTACAGACTATAGGCAAATCATTGAAGGGCACCCTGGTGGTTCTGAACACTCACAGTGTCCTGCTGAACCAAACTGTGAACTCCGTGAAACAGTTATTCTCTGTTATACAGAATGATGTTGCCCAAACTCAGCTGGTCACCGCACTGATGTCTGACATGCTCCGTGAGGTGAGCTCCTCCATCGACAGTGTGATGGCCCACGATGCGGCCACACATCAGTGAGCGGTAACGTGCATATTTACACACACGCGCGCGCACACACATACACATATTACACGTATGGGTAAGCATTGATTTTACCTGCTTATTCTCACGGTTTATCGTTGCATTTGTTTAATGATTTTTCACATGATATTGAGTAAGAAGACAGACTTCATTCTTTTGCTCATGTAGAATGTTTATTAAATATCGGTACATGTTGGCTAGTTGGAGTGCACACAGTTTAGTTCGCTGTGCTGTATATTTCGGTTAATATTGATTTTTTTTAGTTTAAGTTACCGTGGTGTGGGCTGTGTGGAGAATAGCGGAGGTTTCTGGGCTTCCGTCGCGGGGTGCGTCCGCCTAAAGGACCGGCGTGCTGCTTCCACCACTCTTTAGTTCCGTTGGCCGGTTCCAATGGACAGATGAATTGGAGGGAGGATTGAGTTGTCTAAATGGGCATTGTTTTCTTATGTTTCACTTCCTTAATGGAATTTTGGTTTAGACTTCATTTCAAGATTTATATTTAATCTTTAATTCAACTATTTAAATAGTTTTATATTTGTTTGTTGTTTGTTGTTGTATGTTGTAGTTGTGTTTTTTTTGTTCTCCCCTCTTGTGTGGAACTAGGGCTAGTCCAGTTGTATAAATGTGTTCTTATGGTGTCATTTGTTAGGTCAGTTCAGTTTGTTTGTCATGCCCTCAGTTATCTTGAGTTCAGTTTTGTTCTGTTGACCTCTTTTATAGGCCTAAGTCAGTTTATTTGATTTCTTTGAATTTTGATTTTCTGCTTTAAACTTGTGAAGGTTTGTTTTGATTCATTAAAAAGATTTGTTTTGGAAGCTCGTTTTTCCTATGCCTATTTTTTTTGACTGCTGGGTCCCTTACAGGGCTGTAGACATTCGTCATTTTTGGCATGTGTGTGTGTGTGCTGATGTAAAGTTTGCTGTGGAATGCGCAGTTTTTTCTCCTGATGTTGAATATGCGCGTCCTGCAGAACGCCGATTGGTCGAGAGAGCAGCTGAAGAATGTATGAAATGACTTAAATAGCGCTGGAGTCTCATGTGCGCAGAAGAGCAGAACATCTCCAACACACACACACACACAGAGAGTCAAAGATACCAGGGAATTTCTGCAAAGCGTCTTGATTCAGGTGTTTATTTTCAGCGCTGTGCTTTCGAGAAGGTCCTTCACACGTACAGACAGATGTGTGATGTGATTTCAGGGGGAATCATGACTCTGAGGACTCGTTTTGTGCCTCTTGTTGTGGAGTTCCGCAAGCAGCAGACGCGTAGGTGAGGAGAAACTTTATGCTTTGGTTCATTCTCATGTGTTTGGTATATTCGTGCGTGCTCACGTTCGCATTCGAACCCGCAGAAATGCCAGATGATGACACCGTGTTCGACCTGTTCGAGCTCACTCATGTTCATAAGAAGCATCATGGGGTGAGTTTAGAGAAGGGACCCGATCCAAACAGCCCCGCGTACAAGACCCTGAACCCGAGCCTGATCCCCTCAGAGCCCGAGCTCTCCTTCAGGGACCTGATCTATTCCATTCAGAGCGAGAGAGGCTGCATCTTCACCGCCAACCTTAAGCAAGCCAAGCGCACCAGAGGCAGCCTGGTCTCCGTGGAGAGGACAGACGGCACCGGATCCGTCTTTGAGATCATCTCCAACGGGAAAGCCAACACCGTGGATCTGGTGTACTTGACCGCGAGCGGACAGCATGTGGTGTCCACTCCATTGAGGACGTGAACTTGGCGAACGAACACTGGAAGAACATCACGGTGTTTGTGCAGGAGGATCGAGCAAAATAATTCAACACAAAAGCATTTACTGAGCTCTCATGTTTGCAGATTGTTCCAGATAAATGTGAATCATCAAATTGTCAAATCAAGTCACCTTTATTTCTATAATGCTTTATACCAGAGGTCCCCAACCACCGGGTCGCGACCCACTACCAGGCCGTGGAAGAATTGCTACTGGGTCGCAAGATAGTTCTGGGAAATCTCTTCTTCAATATTTGGGAAAGTAGGTGGCTTGGAATTTTTTATTAGATGTGACTTTGATTTGTCCAAATTACCTCTTAAATTGTCTGCATTCCATCAACAAGTTCTCCTGTGTTGAAAATTAGCATTTTCTCACAACTTTAGTAAACACAAAACTTGTATTTGGAACAATCGTTTTATTTTGCACCATAACAAATCTTTATTTTATGAAAACTGGTTTCAATATAACATTTTTTCCCTATTGGACATGATGGACAACTATGGTAATGTTCTCAATTACAATGATTTTTGTTTAAAACATGGATTTGTATGTCATCCTAAAGAGTTTTACAATGTTGTAAATGCCATACCAAAAAACATGGTATTATGGGATTCTTTCACATTACTCTGTGACATTCTCTCTCCCATCTCCTTGTCTGGGTGAATTGTTTATTAGAGATCATAAATGTAACAACAAATATATTAGAAGTGTCTTCATTGATAAACTTCATCCAAATAGAATTAAACGATATTATGTTTTCAAAGATTTTAACCCCAAAGAGGTGAAGGAAATGAGAATGAATTATCTTACCTTTCCAAGTCTCCCTAAAGTGAAAGAACTTCATTTTAAACTAATAAATGACATATACATCTAAAGAATTTCTCAAATCAAAATTTGATATTGGAGAAAACTCTTGTCAATTCTGTGAAATTGATATTGAAACCACTGAACATATTTTTTTTTATTGTAATTACTCAAAGTTGTTCATGTATAATAAACCCTCCTGAATACAAACAAATTAAGTTTGGTGTGCTTAAGAAAGATTGTTCACAACGTTCACAACATAACAACCTTTTTGAAATTGCTAAATACTTCATTCATAAATGCAGATTTCTGAAAACCCCTCCATCCTTTCCTCACTTTTCTAATGAACTTAACATTTTTGCTGCTTCTCTTGATGCCCTTTCAAATGAAAAAGCTACTACAGTTGCCAGTTTCTTCAGTGAGCTAAGTGCCCTATAACTCCTTGCTACCCTTTGTAAGAACTTACTATTCTATAAATGCTTTTACTATTATTTTTTATTTTAATTTATTAATTTATTTTATTTTATTTTCTATCCTTTTCTGTTCTTCATTGCTCTTCATGATTGTACATTTAATGTAAAACTTCACTGTTACATATTGTAATTGCAACTATTTTTTATTATTATTATTTTTTTATTATTATTAAACCTCAATAAACACAGTCAAAGTACAGTTAGGACTACAATAATACACATGAAAACATAAAACGCAAACAAAAATATGCATACAAACTACACATACAGCCAGGGGGGTGGCCTAAACATTATGTAAATATATTAAAGGACTTACATATGGAGACAGTCTTAATTGCTTTCTTATTATGTAAATACAAAATCGTCTTAACATAAATTTGAATTTCTTTCTCAAGAACCAAAAATAAAGGATTGGTTTTACTGTACTTACACTTATGGATATGAAATTTAGCAAAAATTAAAATTAAATTTATAATGTAATATTCTTTGGTTTTATTTGAAGGGATATTAGTAAAACCAAATAAAACGTGTTCTAAGCACAAAGAAAAAGTGGGGTCAATGTTATCAATTATAAATCTAGTCAAATCTTTCCAAAAAATGTTTACATAAGAGCAATGCCAAAATAAGTGAAACAAAGTTTCAGTCATCATATTACAGAAAGAACAATTCAAATCAATATCATTTTTAAATTTAACAAGAAAATAATTTACTGGGTAGTATCTATGTAAAATTTTAAAGGTTACTTCCTTGACTTTGTTTACCAATAGGTATTTGTTTGGCAAGGTCCAAATGGCCTTCCATAATAAACCTTTAACTAATCTGTTCCAATAAATTATACAGTTTGGAGAAGAAACAATGTCTTTTTGAAGTAAGGAACGGACAGTTTTGTTAACATTCATATTTCCAGGGGCAAAACAAAGTTTCCCAATATAAGTATCAAATAGATCAAGTGCAGAGGGGGATGTAATACTGTTTTGGGTATTAGCTCTGAATAATGCCAAGACTCCTCTGGGAATTGCATCCATGACTATAGAAAACTCTTTTGGTGTTACTGGAATTCCATGGACAGCTAGAAACTCAGAATAAGTGAGTAACATGCCTTGTTGATTTAATAATTGACTAACTCGTATTATGCCTGCTGAAAACCAATTTACAAAAAAATAACTATTTATTTTTATATAATATATTGTAATTGTTCCAAATTAGGTACCTATGGGGAGAAAAGTTATGTTTATACAATAGAGACCAAGCCAGCAACATTTGTTTATGAAAGCAGGATAAGCTTAAAGGAATTTTATCAATTTTGTAATTGCAAATCAAAAGAAATCGAAGACCACCAATTTTGGAAAAAACAAAATTAGGTATAAAATTCCATAAAGAATTTGGATTTAGAGTGAAATGTCTAATCCAATTAATTTTAAAGGTGTTATTTAGAGTACAGAAATCAAGAAAGTTAAATCCTCCCGATTCATATGTATTCATTATTGTAGATTTCCTAATGTAATGTGTTTTGTTCCTCCACAGAAAATTAAACAAAGCAGTATCAACAGCTTTACACATCTCCTTAGAGACACTGAGTGAAGTGGCTGCATAGACTAATCTTGACAGTCCCTCTGCTTTACATAGCAAAACTCTACCTTTTAGGGATAAATCCCTTAAAAGCCAATGATTCAACTTTGCCTTAGTCTTCTGAAGAATAGATTCAAAATTCATCTTACACCTAGATTTCTGATCTTTCGTGATAACAATCCCCAAGTATGTTACAGAATCCTTCACTGGAATATTAGCAATTTGTTGTAACTCACAGTCTTTAATAGATAACAATTCACATTTATTGATGTTTAAACAAAGGCCAGAGGCTTTAGAAAAGACCTCCATTACTTCAAGAGCAATTGGGACCTGATGATGATCTTTCAAGAACAGTGCAGTATCATCTGCTAGTTGGGAAATGATAATATCCCTACCCGCTACAGATATACCTTTTAAGTGGCTTGATCTAACATAAATATTCATAAGCTGAGTACAAAACAAGAAAAGGTAAGGGGAAATGGGACAGCCTTGTCTGACACCCCGTTTTAAATAAAACCTAGAAGATGAACCTCCTTTAAGTTTAATAGAACTGTTTGCATTTGTGTGCATTGTTTGTATAGCTTTACAGAAAAAATCTCCAAACCCAAATGTTTTTAATGACCTAAAAATAAAAGCATGCTCCACTGTGTCGAAGGCTTTATAAAAGTCTAAGAAAAGAATAAATCCATCATCAGTACATAAATGAGAGTAATCCAATAAGTCTAAAATTAGCCTTATATTATTTGAAATATGCCTTTTCTTTAAAAAGCCAGATTGGGCCTCATCTATAAGGGGGTCCATAATTGACTTTATTCTATTTGCAAAGATCAGGGCAAAAATCTTATAATCATTGTTTAATAGTGAAATAGGTCTCCAATTGTCTAAAAGCAATGGATCTTTTCTTGATTTTGGAATCAATGTTATCAATCCTTGAGTTAATGTAGGTGGAAGAACTTGATTTTCTATACTTTCTATATAAACTTCTTTAAGAAAGGGAGCGATAAGATCAGAAAAAGTTTTGTAAAATTCGGCTGTGAGGCCATCAACCCCAGGAGATTTATTAACCTTAATATGTGTAATAGCATATAAGACCTCTTCAATAGTAATTAAGCTATCACAAAGCTCTTTTTGCACAGGGTTGACGGTTTCACAACCGAATCCAGAGATAGAGTTAAAAAATTCAGAAGCAGATTGCTCAGAGAATTTGGATGAATATAACCTACTATAAAAGTCTGTACAAAATTGTGATATTTTAGCTTGATCATCTGTTACAACCCCATCTATTTTAAGTTGTTCAATTGAGTTATTTTTAAAGTGACATTTCTCTAAACCAAAAAAATATGCAGAGTTTTGTTCTCCCTTTTCCATCCACTGCTTCCGTGACCTAATTAAAGGCTCCTTCAAGTAAATGGTCATTTTCATTTTTGGAGTTATATCCATAAACATTCGCAATTAACAATATAGTGCCGTGAACTTTGAGGATTTGACACACAAAATGACCTGACCCATCACGTTCTGTATGCAAAATTTCCCCGATGAATCTGTTCTTTAAATTAACAACACCAGCAGAGCGCTCAGTTCCATGTGCACACCAGATGTCGTTTCCCCACTGTGTTCTCCAAAAACGCACATCCTCAGCAGTCGAGTGAGTTTCTTGAAAAAAACAAAAATCAGTCTTGTCGTTTAACAAATAAAAACAAAGCTTTCCGTTTAATACGATCTCTTAACCCCCTGGCATTTAGTGTAACTATAGACGGTGACAGAATGAAAGTGAAACGCAATCCACAAAAAAAAGCGCGTTTGCAAGAACGAACGGAAGGAAAAACCGCGTTTAGACTGTTATAAAGGCGAGTCAGGATTCGAATAAGTACAAAAAGAGTTGACCAAATAGCCTGTCAAAAATAAAACAAAAAACAAAGAAATTCTTCATTTGAGAGCAAATGTCTAAATCCTTTGTTGGCTTAAAAGGCAACAATCCAAATCTAGCAAGAATCAGCAAGAGTCCTCGTCCAATATTTTGGGAAAAGGCATATGTTTTTGATAAAAATAAAATAAAGTCTTGAAGACAGAAGAGGCTTCCATTTAGCCTAGAATCAACTAAAATTCACGGATCCCAGGACGGCTCATATCAACAAAACAAACAATTATCCAACTCTAATAAGGGTTGCAAAAATGAAAAAATTACCACCCTTATCCATCATGTTAGATTAATTTCAGTCCCGGCAACAAAAGCTCTTCCGCCAACAAAATAAGCAGATTTCCCTTGGAGACGGGCTTCATGTACCGCTGGCCACAGCTTGAGACGACGTGCTCTATCCATCTTCGAAAGATCTTCTGCAAATCGCAGACCCTGACTTTTCAGGTACTCAGATTTTTTCGCCGCTTTCCACAGAGAATCACGAATCCCCCTTGATGTAAACTGCATAATTATCCCTCTGGGTTTGTCAACGTTGGACAGCTCCTTTCCTTTCCTTCTGACCCAAACGATGCACTGTGTCAGTGAGATTGGGGAGTCTGGTCTTCTCTGTAGGCAGGACCGATTGACATATGCTAATAACTTCTTGTCGCACATCTTGTTTGTCCGCCTCAGGTACCCCGAATAAACGAAGATTCCATCTTCGTGAATAGCTCTCCAACTCTGCCACACGCGATTCAACTGAATCCAGGGGCGCCTCGTCATTACAGATACGTTTCTCAAGGACTGCAGATTTCTCCTTAATGTCCTTTATCTCAGCACATGCAAAGTCAATCGTTTTCTTGAGCCCCTCGATTCGCAGAGTATTGTCAGAGATCAGTTTCTCCAACGCATCAGATCTAGAGTTAACGAGCTGCGAGAGTTGTTGAACTATGTCAGAAGTCTCCATCGCAGCAGCTGAGGTGGGCGAATGCAACGATTGTGATATTCTCTCTTCCATCTCCTTGTCTGGGTGAATTGTTTATTAGAGATCATAAATGTAACAACAAATATATTAGAAGTGTCTTCATTGATAAACTTCATCCAAATAGAATTAAACGACATTATGTTTTTAAAGATTTTAACCCCAAAGAGGTGAAGGAAATGAGAATTAATTATCTTAGCTTTCCAAGTCTCCCTAAAGTGAAAGAACTTCATTTTAAACTAATAAATGACATATACATCTAAAGAATTTCTCAAATCAAAATTTGATATTGGAGAAAACTCTTGTCAATTCTGTGAAATTGATATTGAAACCACTGAACATATTTTTTTTAATTGTAATTACTCAAAGTTGTTTTGGACTCAATTGTGCAGTAAAATGTCATGTATAATTACATGTGTAAACCCTCCTGAATACAAACAAATTAAGTTTGGTGTGCTTAAGAAAGATTGTTCACAACATTACTTGGTTAACAACCTTTTTGAAGTTGCTAAATAAACCCCTCCATCCTTTCCTCACTTTTCTAATGAACTTCAAATGTTTGCTGCTTCTCTTGATGCCCTTTCAAATGAAAAAGCTACTACAGTTGCCAGTTTCTTCAGTGAGCTAAGTGCCCTATAACTCCTTGCTACCCCTTGTAAGAACTTACTATTCTATAAATGCTTTTACTATTATTTTTTATTTTAATTTATTTATTTATATATTTTTTAATCCTTTTTTGTTCTTCATTGCCCTTCATGATTGTACATTTAATGTAAAACGTCACTGTTACATATTGTAATTGCAACTATGTCTGCCTTTGAGAATTGTTTATTGTTAATATTGTTTGTTCAATGCCTATTTTGTATGTACAATTTAATATTAAATATAAAAAAAAAAAGCAAGCGGT